TACGGTTGTTAAGGTTAGTTACTTTACTTATTTAGAGTAGTATTTATTTTTTAATTATTTTATTAGGTGCACCTTGGTGAAAAGAATGGACGCCTCAAATTTCATATGATTTGGGTTTGCAAAAAAATATTAAAATTATATTACGAAATGAGGTCGTGACCGTCAGATCGGCCCAGATTCAATCTAGGCAATTGGGCTTACACTGTAGCTGTCAACTAGCTCATATTCTCCCATATATATATATATATATATATATATATATATAATCTATGAATATGGAGAAATTAAGATATCGCACAGAATTAGAGTTAGGTGAATGAAGTAGAGATGTGCTTTTGGTGTCTTATATGACCACCACATACTAATGAAACTGAAGAGGAAGTTCTATAGAACGGCTGTAAGACCAACCATGCTTTATAGAACGGAATGTTGGCCAATCAAGAAACAACATATCTTAGAATGCGTATAGCTGAAGAGATGGAAGACTGGAAAGACAAGAAAGGATAGAATTCGAAATGAACACATCTGAGGAAACTTAAAGGTAGCTCTAATAAGCGATAAGATGAGGGAAGGTAGACTTATATGGTCTAGCCATATGCAGCATCGACCTAGACAGCATCGGTTAAGAGTAGTGATTTAATTCAAGTGGAACAATCTGAAAGGGGGGAAGGGAAAGGCCCAAAAAGACATGGATGGAAGTAGTGAGAAAGGATATGGTGCATCATGGTTTAAATGAGTGTATGGCCTTTGCCAGCGTAGAATAGCGGAACGGGATTCATGTAGCTAATCCCAAATAGTTGAGATAAAGCTCAGATGATGTAGTTTATACACACACACACACACACACACACACACACACATACACACACACATATATATACATACATATATATGCATGTATATATGTAGAGAGAGAGAGAGAGAGATATAGAGGAAACTCAAATGACCAACCATTCAAAATAATTCAATGTGAAGTTTATAATAACAAATTAAAAATAAGTCATGTAGCTCAAGTCCCAGTGAGTATTGTATTATAATTTTATTTTCTTTTCTATGGATGAAGCTCAAATTTAGGGAGTTGATTCTTCTCACCAGTTCACATTTATAAAAAATACTAAAAGTATTTTAAAATAAATAAAATGGCCAAATTACTCTAAAATTTTAAAATCGTTTGGGGCATTTTGGTCATTTTTATTTAACTTAATTACATTTTTTTACAAGTATGTTAAGATGAGAAGCATGGGTTTCAAAAATTGAACTTAATCAGATGCATATGAAAAAGAAAAAAAAAAATTTAAAATACAATATTCATTACAAAAAAGTGGAACTTCAAGGGTAACATATAAAATATATGGGACTATTTAATTTTGGGTGCAGTTTTTATAGAGCCTAGGCTCTAAACAATCAAATTAGAGCCTACCTTCAAATAGTATTGAGAAATGTGGATTCAATACTGGAAATCTTTGTAATAGCCTTCAAATATATTTTCATCTTTATTTATAAAGTTTAAAGCTTTAAAAATAGTGTAGATCAACAAATCTATGAAAACTTAAAAATCTTGAAAATTGATTGTCCAAAAATGCGTTCCAAAATACACTATTTTTAAAACTTGAAATCCATTTTTTTCTCATGTCCATGCATCTTGATGTCGAGATGATCAATTTGAAGATATTTGGGTATCAAAACAACCTCTTCTAGTGAAATTTTTGAGGTAGACTCAAATTTGATTGTTTAGAGCCTCGGCTCTATATAAACTTTTCCCTTTAATTTTCTTAGTTAATTTGCCTAATTGAATAAAGTATAAGCACAAAAATGCTAAACTCTAAGCACACACATGCATGCCACTACATATATGTACATGATGCATCAAGGAAGCACTCACAAGTGGACGTGCACGATCAAGCACATGCACACACACACATATACATGCATATATACAAAATGTATTTCAATGCATATACACAAATAGACCTTGCACGGCTACATTCCATACAAATACCCTAATTCCGATATTAATTCTTATTTATCAGCACTGGCTAATATTTTAAGTTGTAAGTCCTAGAAATAAAAAAGTGAACCCAAAGTCCCCATCTTCAATACCATTCTGTACTTCAAAACAAAAACATTCGCCATGGGAAAGTTTTCAAAACATAATAATCAGGGCAAGCACTCGCCATGGGAAAGTTTTTGAAACATAATAATCAGGGCAAGTCACTCAGACACGACAAGGTAGCAGGTCCATGGGAACCGGCTAAGTCTCACTACTTCCGAAGGTTACTTTGTTATTTATAGAAAAACTTGGCCGTATTTGCCTCACTGACTTGGACCCCGGCCATGCCCAGTGCGAAGCCTGAGTCCAAGTTTAATGCCACTAATAATAACCACTCTGCACCTTTTTCTAACAACTTCCCTTTTTATTTGACTCACTCTAAGAGATTTTTAAAAAACATTTAGGAATGCACTTGATATTCCCAAAGTGAAGTAAAAGTGGATCATCAAATGTACATTAGCTTCTAGTATGTGGGTCACAAAATCATAAATCAACTGACAATGTAAATTGTGGGACGAAACAAAATATAATCAAGGAGACTGTACCATATGTTTACAAGTTGAATGTAAAAGTGGTCCTCTCATAACTTGAAAAAAAAAAAATTAAGTTGAATGTAAAAGTGGTCCTCTCATAACTTGAAAATATAAAATTTCTTTGTCATGGGCTCAATAATCAAACTGGAATGCACACTTAACTCTAGAAATGTCATGTGTCTCAAAAATTTTCTATGCAAAAAAATTAAAAAAATACGGGAACAAAGTCAGAGGCCTAAAGATTCTATTATTTTCAAAAAGCAATTAATGAAGCAGTACACCAAATGAGTTCCACTCAAGGGATGATGTCTTTGGGATATTTCAGTATCCTAGATATACATATGCTAGAAAATCTATCTACCATGTGGTTGGCCTCCCAATCACCATGCAATGTCAAGCTAAAGACAGCTTCAGAACTAAATGAGTAAAAGGTATCTATGGAGATTGGTTTCTAACATGCATTGAATCCCCCCAGTACTAGCAGCCATAAAATGGTCAACCAGTCCTAAGTTCCCCGCCAGTTCTCCTAGCTGGAGTTCTTCACCCCAACTAGAAGCAGATGATATAAAATTCCCCTCCCCCAAACTATTTTGCAACACATAAGTAAGGTCTTCACTTATTGAAAATGTGAAGTACAGTTAAAAGATTTAGCCAATAATATTCGCAAGTCATGAAACCATATTTCTAATCACAAGTTATGAAACCATTTTTCTAATAAAAAACACTATTATTGTGTATTGCAAATCACATTAAGTACGGTTGGCAGGTCTTTTCATGCAAGCAACAATAGTACAGCTCTGCATGATGAATGTTAGCTTAACTAATGTTTCAGCATATTGCAACAGGCCAATGATGAAAATAAACCTTATCAAAAGACATTTTCTGACAGATGGGTATGGGCATTGGTTGCCAGATATGTGAAGTAGTGATGTACTGATGCAGTCAAATTTTTTTCATTTTTGTTTTTATTTGATCTGCATCTCTCCATTTGTGGTACTTCAAAGCCTCCAGTCAATTTTTTTTATTTTTGTTTTTATTTGATCTGCATCTCTCCATTTGTCGTACTTTAAAGCCTCCTAAATTGATAAATGAATGGTCCCTTTTATTTTCCTTTTTTTTTTTTTCCATGTGCACCAGATAAATGAATGACTCCTTATCAGGAAAGGATAGATGAAAAGCATTTATAAAGAATAAATAATTTAGGTTCAAAAAATTCCTCACGCATATATCCGAAGCATGAATCATGATTCTCTCGATTATTGATCGTAGATAACAACAACATTCAATTCCATGAATTTTCCATTAGATGCCCCAGTCTCGCCATGAACCCCAGACCCAAATGTTGATAACATAATCCCCACTGTTTCTATCTCTATTCAACATTCGCTGATCATCAAAAATAACAACCTCCATTTCCACGCACTATAAACCACAATCCCAAAGCTTCAATCATGTTTGTAATGAACAAAAAGACCCATGACCTAATCTCATTGCAAAAACCCAAAATTCCTGAATGTCTTGGTATAATAGCCCTACTTTTTACCAACTAAAACGAAGATAATTCACACAATGGAGATAAACAGAGATAGAAATAGAGATGCAGAGAGGGAGAGTCAGAATAACGGAAACTTACTTGACTGAACTTGGTCTGGAGAGTTGTGTTAACTTCATCGAATGCACGGCGAAGGTTAACAAATTCCTTCTTGGCTTCGTCAGTGACCAGAAGCTTGGCCATGCCATCCCAGTCTATGGTTTTTGAGGCCTTTGCAGCAGCATCCACCAATTTTTTACTGCTCCCACTCATTCTCTGATGCCAAATCTCTCTATCTCTCTCTAGTTTTGTTGCTCTCTCTCTCTCTCTAAATATTTCAGAGACCGTTGTTGCTCTCTCTCGCTCTCAATTTTTCCGAGACCGGAGCTCTGTTGGTGTTGAGTTGGGAGGGACTTAGGGCCCCTACAGCACCAAATGACTAGAATGCCCCTTTATTGACAATCTGCAGTTAGTTTTTTTTTTTTTTTTTTTTTTTTTTTTGAATCCATGATCGAATTGTTTTTTTTTTTTTTGTAATCCATGATCGAATTTTTTGTTTTTTTTTTTTTTGTAACCCATGATCGAATTTTTTGTAATCCATGATCGAATTTTTTGTAATCCATGATCGAAATGTTTTTTTTTT